ATATCCATCATATAACTTATATTGTAAATGGCATATATTGTATAAAAACAAAAATTCTTATAGTATTAAATACAGTAGATGTTAATATTACTAACAAAGTTTAAACTTATTTCAAATTATTCACATATTGTACAAACATGAATCAGTGAACATCAATAGATTCAATTTAAATATTAGTAATAAATTTATTATATTTATTATCAAAAATATACAATAATATCTGTTTTGTAAATGATAAAATTGGATTTAACAGAATATTGTGATTGTAGTGGAATTTTATTTTGCGATATTGTTTTTAAGCTATAATTATAGAATACATCCATACTAATTATAATATATTTACTAACTTTTAAAAAGGGACATTCCAATTAAGTTCATTTTTATATTGATATAATTATAACTTTTAAAAGATTATATTTTAATTAACCAGGTAATTCAATTTGATGGCGACCAATATATCTGCACAATATCTATGTATATGATCCGGCTTATTTCTATGACACTACACTGGAGGTATTTTACAATTTAAATTCATATTTTGTAAAAATAAATAAGTTATTAAACTTTAATTAAAATATATGACAAACTATTTTTAATAATAATTCATTATATTTATTTAATCTATGTACAAATTATTTTAGTGTGACTTTTAAAGTGTCCGATGAGGGTCTGGGTGGTTATTTTGTGAATAACACGTGGCATGGTATTTTAAAAATGTTTTACGATGGGGTAATGTAAATTAAATTAAATTTTAAAAATAATTAAAAATGATCATTAATTTTCAAAATAATAGACCGCGGATATAATACTACACTATTTCTCATCGGACACGGATAGGCAACGTGTGGCTGAATACAGTCCCTTTTTGCCCACCACCAAATTATTATCTATACTAACGGTGCCCACGTTTAGACCGGACAATGTGCTAAAAATATTTTTCATATTTAATTATAAAATATGGATCTGTATATTATTGTCGTACGTATTATGTGCAACTTTTAACTGTACCAAGGTTAATAAAGGCAGTAATAAATTATATGTTTTTATTGACTATTTTGGATTACTGATTGGTCAGAGTAAGTATGGTTTTAAACATTTAGTGTACTTAATTTACATAGTTGATTTATAAATAGTAATATACTATTTTTCAAATTAATGTATATAGCTGATTTAATAAAATTTGTTTATTTTTATAGCTTCTACCTACATAAATAAAACAAACTCACCATTACTAATTAGTATCTGGTTAATATCGACATACATTTTGCGGTTAATGTTTGTCAGTGACATACAGGCGCTGCTGAGATCCCGGCGCGAAATAACTATCGACTCATTCGAGGATCTATTGGATGATAAACATATGGTTCCCCTAATGGACACAAACGCTACCGTTTATAGGATGGCTATAAAGGTTAATAAAAATAAGATTATTATTAGGGGTCATTCAATAGGTACGTACAGTGTAATTGTATAGGGGTCAGTCGAGGTGAGGGTATATGAATGATAAAGTCCTAAAAATAGATTACGCATGGCAGGGTTAAATTAGGGAAACATTACCAACGTACTTATTGAATGACTCCTACCTTAATATTAAATTAATAGATTTTACTGTATGTCTAGTTATACCCGGACCTAAAAGGTAGGATAAAGGATATAGAGTTTGGCGATAATTTTAGGCCAAAAACTTTGGGACTAATACTCGACCGCAAAAACTATGCGCTCATTGCCTCGGAGTACGACATCCAACAGATTATGTCATTTTACTACCGGCACCGGTGGCACCAGTCCAGCGAGGGTCAGGCCTACCTCATGGGAGGCTTTCCCTTTCGGCGGACACTGGATAAGGGTCTGAAGGATAAAATAAAAAGATTGTGAGTTGTGCCAGTTGCATTTTTAAAATAAATTATATGAGTATTGCTATTGCCATTTGAAAAGTGGGTTATATTTTACTTAAAAGTTTTACTTATAAATTAATCTCGTAAGTTTTCAATCAAAAATATTTTTTAACTAGTTTGATTTTATTATTTTAAAAAATACATTCATTTTATTTACAGGTTACATTTAATTCCTAGTGTTTCAATAAAAATATTCTAGCATAACAAATTATGTATATATTGAATACACGATTTAGATGTAAACCAATTTTAGATGAAAAATTACTAACTATAAAGTCTAAGTTTTCAATGAATTTATATTACAGCTTTAAATACATATACCTGACCGGGGTGTATTTGAAAAAGGCCGAAAACCAGATCCGTTTTTATAATTTTATCGACAAATTTACAAATCGCTCAAAACGTCCGGAAACTGTAAATACTGATTATGAATACCTGCCCTCAGAGCCTAGATTAATATTGTGGCTATTCCTATACTCAGAATAACAATTATATCAACTCGAATGTCAACCTAAATGGAACGATAGGCAACCTTTACATAAAAGAAATAATCACAATAAACTGGAAATTATTTTTAATAAGAAATGTAAATGTATGTTTTCATTATGAATGTGTTTTTGTAATTTTAAAATGATAAATAAATTGAGTTTATATGAACTGGAAATTTACACAAAATTTTTATTTTAAAATTGTAAACTTTTTGAATTGTGTATAATTTAAATGTTTTAAAGTTTTTAATTACTATATTAAATGTAAAATGTCATTAATGTTGAAAATAAAAATTAACAATTCGTGTTATTTATAGTCCTTTAATTACAGTTTGCTAATGTAAATATATAATTAAACATGTTGTGTAAAATTATTCATTCAAACATTTAATTTTAATTATATAAATATTTAATTTTATAATTACAAACTTCAAAATAATATGAATGAAACATAAATCGTAAAAATAATTGCAAAACAACACTGTTAAAATAATTTCCTAAAAATTCAAATAAAAACTAAAGCTTTAACTAATTCATAGACAATATTAACTTCAATCATTTTAAAATAAAATTTTTAACTTTTAGTCAAAAACTTTTAAAAGTCAAAGCAATAGTTTTAAAATATACTACAATGTATTCAAGTATACTATTTCTAGTATATACCTTCCTGGTATTATGCACAGGTTTGAGAGTTTATTGTTTTAATTTAAAATTTAAAATTTAAAATGATAAGTTATTAAAATTTAACATTTTAATTATAAAGCTAACGGTGCTCTTATAAAACGAGCCGCTCGTCCATCAGAGGCCGAGATTAACCACAACGACGTGCCCGGGCATGTCGGGCGCCAACGGGTTGATGCCATAGTGGCAGAGGTGCGCCATAACGCCGTCGTAATGGACAGTCAGATTGAAAGACCTCAACCTCATGATAAAGTAGCCGTCGATGGGACTGGTCATGTCAGGTCTGGGTTTGCGTTGGCACCGGTACCACAAAAGGCTGTCCATGGGAATAAACACCCTGATGATAAGGTAGCGGTGGAGGGTAAGGGCGATATGCGTATGACTATGCGTCAAAATGATCCCAGATTTTTGAGCTTGATACAAGTATGGTGGAAATCAGTGAAACTGGGTTTTAAGAAAATATTTGGTTAATATTAAAATGAATTTGTTTTTTGTTATGATTTTTAAAAGTTATAAATTATTTTTACATTTTATTAAAATAAATGAATTACTATGCTAACTGATAATTTTATAACTACTTTGTTTATTTTTAAAATACATATTTGTTTTAAATAATTATAAATTAATTACGAAATAAAAATTATTAATGTATGATTTAAAATAAATGTTGTTTATTTTGAATATAAAATTATTTTTAAAATTTTTTTATTGATAGTTAAATAATTTTAGCAAGCATTCTTATTAAATCAAACTTTAAAATAATATGTAACATATTTATAATTACTGTATTTTAAATTATAACGAAATTAAGCATATAATTTTTAATAATGAACTACATTTACATTACTAAATCCACAATAATTGTTATCAATGGAAAATCACATATAATTGCAATATCGTGTTAATTCTACAATTTTAACTTTTATAATCACTACATTATTTAATAAACAAATCACTTTTAATTTAAACATGTTAATGATTGTATGCTGTATATTTAGTTATAAATTTCAAAATAAATTTTTAAATATAGTATAAAATAAAACTCTTTATAATACTAAAGTTTTCAGTCAGTTTGGGAGCTACTGTAGACGGTACCAGTACTTATTATGTATTTTAAATTATTATTTACGGTTTTTGCTATATGCCTAACCCTAAACCCTGGTATGTACTAGACTTATTATTGAGAATACTAAAATAATTTTATATTTAACATTAAAATTTATTATCACAATTTAACAATGTACATTTATTTTAAACAGCGGATACAAGCCCGGTCAACTCACACATACAACCCTTTCAAATGTCCAGAAATTCAAACGCTATTCCACATCCGGTTCCCGTACATAACGGTATGGCTATTGGTAACCCTGGTCACCCAAATCCTGTGAACAATGGTAAACTCGGCCATTACTACCCACACCCTAATGATAAGAGTGAGCAACTAATTAAGGAACTGGAGTCCGATCCGAGATTTTTTAAGGAGTTTTTCGCGTCGGTGTTCAAAAAGTTTGGAGCATTGCCATTTTTCAAATTATTCGGTAAATGACCTAGTAATGCCATTTATGATCAAGATAACTAATATAACGGCATAGAAATATTTTATTATCATAATTACCATAATTATTATAACTTTAATATCTATTATAATAGGCTATACTTTTGTTTATTTACTAATTATATTGAAATATATTTATTTGTATAACTGTTTAAAACTTATTCATAATTATTTATATTTATAATGGTTTAAAATTTTTAAATTACATTATGTTTCAAAATATTTTATGTTTTAATTTATTTTTAAAAAATAATACTACAAAATAAACTATAGTATAATGAATTGGATATATAACTTCACCCACATACAAAAACTACTATAAACACTTACAAGTTATAAGTAGATGAATTTGTTAATTAAATATAAAAATCAAATATAAATACAATTAAAAATATTTATTATTTTATTTACCATTACTATTATTAATGTTTAATAGTATTCAACAAATCAATCATTAAAATATAACTAGTGATCCAGCTCATGATATAATCGGCAAACTCCCAGTTATTTACGGCAAACATATCCAAACAATACAAACCGATATGAGGTGCGGACAGGCGTTCAATAAAATTGCATACACTCCACCTTGTACGAATACCCAGGTAGGCATTACCAGGCTGTTTGCTGGCTACCATTAGCCCATACATACGGTTTGAGCAATGGTGGGCCCATTTAGATACCGACGCGGCCAGGGAGTTTACTATGAATAGTATGACAATACACATGGATAGTAGGAATGCCAGGACTACCCGGGCGTATACGTTATTGTTTGGGTCGTGGCTGAGGTACAGGAGCCCATTGAGGGGCGGTTTCACGAAATAAAATATAATAAATATGAAGTATTTGTACATTTGGTTGAGTCGATGGACAGTCGTGCAGATGTGCTGGTGTTGCCATATGGATAGGGTTAGGCCGGGTATGTCGTGGTTGTCGACGCAGGATATGATTTGTGTGGATAACTGTTTGAATTGGTATTTGAGGTATAGTAGGGACAGGTGTACGTACGCGAAGCCACCCAGAATTAGACCTAGTTGCAATTAATGTTTTAATTTTGGTACTATTATTTTTTAGCTAGATCATTTAGTTTAACTTGTTTTCTTAGTTTATCTAATTTATTGTGTTTATTAGCTTCATCTAACTGATCTAGTTCATCTAATTAAACTAGTTAAACTAGTTCATTTAGTTCAACTAGTTTAATTAGTTAAACTGGTGCATCTAGTTAATTTTGTTTATTAAGTTCATCAAGCTTATCTAGTTCATCTAATTCAACTAATTTATCTAGTTCATTTAATTTAAATATATTATATTTTAATTATTTTTTAAAAATTGTATGAAATAACTAAACATACCAAACAAATCAACCAGCATAAAATAAGTGCAACAATTCCAGAATACAATAGTTGCAATAGAATAATTAACATCAGGGTCTATATATGCAATAAAGGTCAACCCATAAAAATAGACCATATTTACTATAATAATAAAATAAAAATGTTGCTTGCTTAAAATAATATTCAACACCAAATTCTTGTTAATACAATATTTGCGATAATAATAAGCATTTAATTCATACATATTATTACGTTTATGTTGAATATCATAGAAAAATGGGATTATATTGAGTTTATGGGTCAACTCCAGGTACTGTATTAGGCCACCCAGGGATATATTCATCACCAAAATAGCCGTTCCCAACATAAATGAATTGAGCCTTTTATGGCCTAATAGGTAGTGGGGGTCAGCCATTAGCACCCGTATGTCCGGCGTATTAATTACGGCTGATGTTAGAAAACGTATGGCTACTAATAAGCTGATAATACGGTAAAATAGTATTTTATTTATTTGCTTGGAATATTTGTTACGTGTGGCACCCAGGTAGTTTTCAAACGTTTTGTTAGCCATGGTGTTGTAGTTATGCATGAATTGTTCAAGCTTGTTGAAATTTATATGACGATCCACATAACGGTTTATGAATTGGTGAGATATTTGTTGGACATTAACAATGCTAACGATCCGGCTTATAATGGCCATGTTTACAAAATTAATGTGGATTTTGTATTATTATTAAAAATAATTGTTTACTCTAATATGAAATATAAATTTCATAAAGTTTTAAATATACACTACTGTTATTATAAAGTACAGTATCATATAAGTATATGTTATTGTTATTGTCAATATTAAGTAGATGTATAAGGTATGTCGTCAATCTTAAAAATAATATTTTATTAAAATCAATATTTTAGTCATTATTTCATAATAATGATGTGTTTTTCTAGATATTTTATTTTTTAATGATTTTATTAATGATATATTTTCTATTCTCAGTCTATAAAGCAATTAATCACTATTTGTTTTGCATTACCTAATGAATTACTATCGCATTTACCTAAATGACCTTATCATATAACACTTATTTAAATGTCAAAGTAATTACTTACTAATGATCATAATTTATGAGAAATTTATTTATTTTATTGTTTATATATAATAGTATTTAAATCAACATGTTTACAAAATAATTTTATTTTCATTGTTTATGTCAAATTACATTTATAATTATTTTATAAATACAGGCTATATATGTTGTATAAATAAAGTGTTGTATTGAATACAACATGCCAAGTATCAATATATAATTACTAATTACAAATTATCAACTCAAAAATAATCACAAACTGCAAACATATCTTAACAATATAAACCTATATGTCCTATAAGTAATAGATTATTACCCTATTTAACAGCCAACTATCCGCAGATTATGAAACATTACAAGTCATTTGTACAAGACAAAAAAATCTTATTATATAAATGCTAAATTTATATTAAATTTCATTTGTAGTAGCAATAGGTTTACTAATTATATTCCCAAGATATACTTTGGATATTATTTTTAGTCAGTGGAATAGATGTTTCTTGTTTAATACCCCCAAGATAAGTATATAATTAGCGATCCAGCTCAAAAAATAGTCACCAAATTCATAATTTCTAATCGCAAACATATCTAAACAGTAAAAACCGATAGGCTTTCCGGACAGGCGTTCAATGAAATTATATAATTTTATCCTTGCCCGTAAACTCATTAGCAGGGTAATTGATGGTTTTTTATTAACATACAAGAATTTTTGGTTAGATACTAATGGTCTGTATAATAATTTGTTACTCTTATGGGCCCATGTGTTCAATGAACTTATTACCAAGTTACTCATAAATAAAACTGTTGTAGCTAGGACAAATAATGCACCCATTACTATCTGTGCAAATAAGCTGTTTGTTTGTCCCATGGTCATATATAATAATCCATTGAGTGGAGGTTTTAGGAAATAATAAACAATAAATAGCGAGTACTTAATTGAGCTATTTAGTTTATGTAATGATACGGCAATAGCTTGGTGATTATGAATGCATTTTAGCAGGCCAGGTATGTTTTGAGTAGATATACATGTTACTATTTCATGGTGTAATTGTTTGAATTGTAATTTAATGTATAGTATTGATAGGTAGCCAAACGCAAAACAGCCATTTATTACACCTAGGTAAAAGTTTCATTAATTATAATTAAATAAACAAATAAACAATTTTTATTATATACCGAAAAAATCAATAATCCAGATAACAGTACAAAAATCCCAAAACACAATACTTATTATGTGGAAACTCTGATCAGGGTCCAAATATGCCAGTATTGTTAAGCCAATAAAATAAATACTATTTAATACAATCATTGGATAATAAACACCATAGTTTAAAATATAATCTAGTAATAAATTTTTATTAACACAAAACTTATCGTAATATTTATGCCGTAATTCGTATGAATTTCTCGCATTGTATTCAATGTTATAGAAAAATGGTATTATAGTAAACCTATTTGTATACTCCAGGTACAATTGTAGGCATCCCAGGGATATGTTGACAACAATAACACCATTGCTTAATAGAAATGAATTGAGCCTTTTATGGCCTAATAGGTAGTTGGGGTCAGCCATGAGGACAGTTACCTCAGGACTATTAAGTACGACTGATGTTAGGAAACGTATGGCTACTAATAGGCTGACGAGTCGGTAGAAACATATTTTTATGACCCGTTTTATTGGAGGTGTCTGTCCGCACATGTATGCCGTGAATGTGTCCGACGCCATAATCAGATGCCTGGCCAACAATA